ACGATCAAATTTGCTTTCTAACAAGTTTTGAGACAAGGTCTACTAAAGTCCAAATCGCAATAATAAAGGGGTGGCAATAATAATATTGTCCGGCCGGAAACGTCCCGATTTTAATAGATTCCCTTCTACTTGTCCTTCTAGTATTACGAGCTGCACTACCTGGTCCTACCCATGTCCTCGTGGTTTATTATTACGACCCCGCCCCTTCCGTAAGCCCAAATCGGAAAACAAGTTCTGGGAATAAAGGGGGTTATTAATGTCATCACAACATTAGACAAGCGCAAAAAAAAACACGTGGGAGCTGGGCACAATCTTGATCCTTTGTCTTGTCCGCCAGCTACTGAAACACAGGGGAACCCAGCAGAACCAGCAATGGGAAGCTACGGTGATCTGAGAGGCGGTCCAACTGGACAGTGTAACGAAGATGAAGCTCAAGAAATGGAAGAAAGCTTCTACGCCTGTTTAACGGACTACCAAGACTACAATCATTTGAAATAAGTTTGTTGGCTGCTGCATTGCTGCACACTCCCATGCCCCGACACAATATTGCATTTGCAAACATCTGATGGCCTACCATGTACCACACGCGCTACTGCCCTCGCTTGAAGGTAGGATTCACCATCAAGAGAATCTGGACGGGAGTAACAGTCACCAGTTTTCAATGGAATTCAAAGGAGACGTAGACCTGAATTCTGAGACCAGCTCCCTGTCCCGGCGCCTTCTTCAGGTCTCTAATGCAGCACCCAGGCTTGAGCGAGAGTTGGCAAAGTTCACCGCTGATGCCAAATATCTTCCTCAGCTACACAGAACACATACGCAGCAGTGACGCAAATGAAGAGAGCTGGACGCGAGACTCAGCCTCAGCAGCAGCAGCAGCAGCAGCAGCAACGCGTCCCATCAAGGGCCGCTGGGCTACATCTCAAAGCCGAGGTCTCCGTTAGAATCATCCCTTACAGCAGCAGACTTGGTAAAAATATGCCTCTCAAGTCTCAGCGGCACTTCTGCACCCATGATGCCAGGCCATCATCGACCAGGTGTCTGCTTCCGATGTGTCTAAGCTGGAGCTGGCTTCAAGTAGCGGATGTCACGGGCAATGCCTCATTATGCTACAGGCAACAAAAAACATGCGGCCCCCCTTCTGAAATGAAGGAGGAAGGGTGAAGCATTGTAAGATCCTACTGCTTGAGCATGTGCGGGAGGTAACACCTGCGTTGGGCCTGGGGCTTCGCTGGAAAGTCTCTGGCTTCTACCGTGCAGCCGGCTTTGGGGTCAGAAGCGTGAGGCCATGGCAACCTGCTGCCCTTTCGTGACAAATTCATCCCTGCTTCTCGCGTGATCTCAGAATTCAAGCAGCGTGAAAAGAGCACCCAAAAACAAACATCAAGCTGCTTTAGCCATCAGATTCCCTTGAATCAAAACCTGCCAAGACCATGCGCAAGCATTCATGTCAGCCTTCTTTTCGATCGCAATGTGGAGAAGTGAGTGCCTAAAAAGGCAGTAGCCTGAAAATGCGGAGCTTCAGGGATGTGACGAAACAGCCCCTGCGCTGCCGCAAGGAAGGACGTGTTATGACAAGGCTTTTCAGCCACGTTAGACAGCGCAGACCTTTCAGAGTCCTGGGCCCTCCTCTTCCAGCATCTGGCTGTGGGTGACTAGCATACAAAACGAATGGAGGCCAGAAACCTGAGGGAGGGCCATGGAAGCTGGGCCTGGGCTTTATGTCAAATTATAGTTTTCGGAATCAATTTGCGAAGACCCGGCATTTGCGCTGCGGGTGCGCTCTTCAAAGGACCTGGCTGCAAACCGCTTAACGCCGACTGGTAGACTATGTTCATCTCCCCGAAAACCACGATCGTCTTAATCATCTGGGGGGAACTCATGGGCTTGCAGATGGACCTTAGTAATTTGTGGCAGGATGCTAAATTCGTGCCCTGAAACCCAAAGACCCTTCGGATACAGTGCAGGCTACATGGATCGACAAAATAAAGGCGCTTCTAAAACATTCTGAGCTAACCCTCTTCTTGGCACCCACGCCATCTTCGTAGAAGGGCATGGTCTGTGGCTTGTTTGTAGCTTGTGCCGCCTAGAACTGCACCCAGCATCGCACACCTCAAATGACGCAATCCGGAAGCTGGGCCTGGACAGCCGCACGGGAGAGAGCTTGCAGATGTTAGTAACTACATAAGAGATGGCACCACAACCACTTGCACCAAGTATAAATGGCCGCGCTTGTAACAGGACTGAAGATGGCAGCAACCAAGAAACATAACATCCATGCTACAATCAGAAGGCAAATCTCTACATAGAAATGCTGCTGTCTACCCAAAGCACCCTGTTCTGGAACAGATCAAAGGCAAATGATCGAATGCAAACAGGCTCAGGGGCATGCAGACAAGGTCACAAACTGGTGTCTGCTCGGCCTCAAAGATAGCTTACTCATGCCGGGCGGACTCATGTCCACTCGATTTATGGCTGCCCTGTCGACTTTGAAACAATTCTGGAGCATCTCAGACACACACAGAAATGGGCGCCCATTTATGGGACCTGGCTAGCTTGAACTCACTTGCCTGCCATACATATTGAAAGCTTGGTCCAGCAATTACGTCTTTGGTATCTCAGACAAATGGCAGAAGCTCTCCCATGTTGAACGGCTATGCAGCACATTCATCCCAATCTTCGCGTCGCTTGCTTGCAATGTTGCAGCAGCCACGACTGTTCACCAGAGAACCAGGACTAGCTTTTCGTTTTAAGGGCACCAAACTAAAGGATCACAAGGTTCTTTTGAAGCTGTGTAGCGGAGGGTCTCAAGTGAGATGCGAAAAACCTTTGAAGCCAAATGAAGCTAGCTTGTCGATCAGACTTGAAGTGGCATTTGTACCCCGCTAAACCTGTACGTACCTCTTCCAGTACAAGCCCTGCGAAGATCCCGGGATATCAGAAGCGTGCGAAGCAGGCTGCAGGCGCCGTCAGCGCCTTCCACTCATCATGACGCGCAGTCCCCCTGACTCCTTTGGTATGGCTCCGGCAACAAGTCCGCTAGCCACAGAGGGGCTGATAATTCATCGATATCGCGAAGCAGGATGCTGTGTGTGCCACTTCTTGCATGGACACGCAACAAATTCATTCTTCCCTTCGAGATGACAGACTCGCACCGCCGCATGTTGCTTCGTTGCTCCCTTTGAGAGTTTTGCTTCAGCGGCTAAGCTATCGAATTCCACAAGTTACACCACGGAGGCTTTCGGCAAATGCGGATTGAGGACTACTGATACGAGAAGACTAGCAGTCGTAGCATATAGGAGTAGCCGGCAGTCGTAGCCATAGCTCTACTGGTAGTACTCGTAGCAGTAGCAGCAGCAGTACTACTACTACTACTACTACTCCTCCTCCTCCTCCTCCTGCTGCTGCTGCTGCTAGTGCTAGTACTAGTACTAGTACTAGTACTAGTACTAGTAATAGTGCTAGTAGTAAAAGCAGTAATAGTAGCAGCAGCAGGAGTAGGAGTAGCTGTAGCAGCAGCAGGTAGTAGTCGTCGTAGTAGTAGTCGTCGTCGTAGTATAGCACCCACGCGTCGGATATCCGACGGTGAGTTCAATCACCATGGCTGGCCTAAAAGGGTGTTTGCTGTGGCAATTCCTCAGTCTTGCTGATTTGCTACCTGTTTTGGCACTCGACACGTTTTTTGTCGTTCGATGCGGGAGTTCACTCATGTTGATACATTTGTGCCTTTTCGCAGCGGGAATTCCACCATTCTCAGTAGACCATGGCATCCATTTCTTTTTATCCGGATAGCCAGCATGCTATCATCCATGTTGCCTCTGCATCCCTTCTGTGCATGCTAACGGTCCATGTTACCACTGCATCCACTTCTTTACATCCAACCTCCATGTTACCTCTGTATCCACTTCCTTGCATCCTGATAACCATATTAGTAACATCAATGTTGCCAGTCCATGATTTTTGCAGTCGGAAAGCCAAAATGATAACATACATGTTACCAATGCAGCCATTTCTTTGCATCCGGACAACTGACACGCTAAAGATAACATCCATGTTACTAATCACACTTTTGCGAGCGAGAACTGGGATAACGTACAAAATGTCGGGGGAGGGGGGGGGGGTGCATAGAGCAGCAGCAGCAGCAGCAGCAGCAGCAGCAGTAATCATCTGCAAACAGGTCAAACGCTAAAAAAGGCAGTTGAGAGGTCATGTTGCATCTGAATCACCATTGGCATGAGGTCGGGCGCGGTCGTTGCAATTGGCCCAAAACCTAGTTTTACAGTGGAGGGAATCATAATGTTGACTTCGAAAGTACCATCAGGAATTACAGCTGTGTGCCACCTCCGCTGTGTTTCTTGGCAAGGCGCAGGTGGATCGTTCCTTCCGCTTTCTAAACCACTATGATACAAGATTCATGAGTCAAGTTTCTGGTGCCGCGGCTTAACACACATGAGTGCTCACATGAATTCAACCTCTTAGGTAAAGCATATCCTGCGTACTCACAGGATTGACAGTATCCAAACTTCAGCCTTCATCCAAAAGCCTTCACTGAGCTAAGTTGCAGAGCATAAGCTTCAACACAAAAACTTCGTGAGGTAAACCCCCAGCAGTGGTTTCTTGAGCTCTGGGTCTCAGGCCAAGCCACCCAAACTCTGAATGCTCGTGCCCATTGACGCCATGCTTCATTGGAAACCAACAGCTACAAACCCTACATCTGGTACATTCCTGTCCACACAAACTGGCAATGTAGCCCCTGTCAGTTCCCAACAGCTGGAAGAAACTAAAACCAGGCGAAAAAAGAGGCTGGCCCATCTTCATCGGGCTGCTCAGGGAGCGCAAGATCCTAAGAGTCAGGTCCAACATATTAGGGGCTCCTTTGAAGGATGTGTAAACAGTAAATACGGTTGAGGGTGTTCGAAAGTGGCAGCCCCTTCTGGGGAGTGCTTGTACTGAGAATTCTTACATCTTGAAATACCCCAGAGGAAGCCAGGAAAGCCTTCCCAGGAAATCTACGTGAAGAAGGAGAGTTCTTGGTTCGACTCTGGGTTCCTTAGCAAAACTTTGGGCGTGTGGAAAGGGGTCATTATCTTTGATGAATACACATTCCGGGTCTGCGATGTCTTGTGAGACTATAATTACATGGTTCAGAGAGGTTTACATGGCCTGGAGGGTTAGCCTCACTGTAATCTTGCCAAGAAGCCTCTGGTCACCTTAAGCAGGATCAGAACCCCTGACCAACATCCGTTCAACAGGAACGCAACCGTTCGCACTGAAAACACTTAGCAGAACCAAGGAGCATCAGACAGAAACGAGGGCGCGTAGATGTATCCCAGACCGGGCATTGCAAACAGCTAACAGTCAGGGATATCTCTAGAGTTAGATTTGGGGGAACGAATATTTCGTGACATTGTGGCCCCAAGGTTGTTGGACTGCCGTGCCAGAGTTGGGCAACTCTTGCAGCAGATCCGAGATGGAAACACAACACGACATGGGCTGAATGTGGGTAACCAACATATGACAATGCTTTTGAGGCTTTCGGGGCGTAGGGAGTGTCTAAACCCACTGACACGAGGCAACGCATGCAAGCAGCCATCATGAAGAAAAACCTTACAGCGCTTCCATAGCCACATGTTTTTAGGACCCCGGCTACTGAGGGGCCATGGACTCATAGGGGGAACTAGTTGTATTCTTACGCATGGATTCGCAGCACATGCAGTCGTTGGAAGGAGGTCGAAATAGGAACTGAGCAATTGCAGCCGCGTTGCTACGGACACCTGAGGCAATGAAGCTGCCACTGGGAAGTTAGCAGCCGGACTTGAACAGCTACAGTCGCGTCTCCGACAACCATGGCTCCCGTACTACTGTAGCACTCATGTCACTGAGAAGTAGGGCTTGTGACAAGACAAGCTGACTTGCACGTGTCGTCAAAGGCGTGGATGCACCGCATGATCGCATGACATGAAAACCACAAGGCTTCTCCCATGCACCTCGCCCTTGTCCTGTGCGCGGGCACG